TGAGGCCCAGAACTCCAATATCTATATTACAGTCTCAGTCTTCATTCCCCACATCCTGTTAATCGCGATCTCCAGGTCGTTGTATTTGGACAATTTCTCGATAATTTTCTTGACGGTGTTTCTCTCAGATGGTACTTCTATATCAATAAGCATGTATTGAATGTATTGGTTTTATCATAATTTCACGTCTTTGCGTATTATTTCACTGTCAGTTTGGATTGATATGTCCGAAAGGATTGTTACATCGTTATTTTCGGTAATTGTGTCTGGTTGGTGCTAATACCATTTCTCATTGCTTTCGATATTGTACATCTTGCGTATCTTCCGGTCCACCTATATCGCTGCCTTGATATATCTGTAGGTATGTTCATTTCTGCTCATTTCCGATATCCTGGAATAATATGGTCGACAGTTTCATCATATTTTCCTCAGATCCTGCATTTTAGGTTAGTTCTAGACTTAACCCTGAGCTGCCATAATTAGGCCTTCTGTTTCCGCTTCCAACCCGGTGCTCCTCAGCCTCTGAGGGATTTTTTGTTTATCCACATCTGCTTATTTCGTTCTTTTTAGGTATTTGACGTGCAAAGCCTAGTTCTCCCATTTTTGTTTGTTTGTAATTTCATTTGGCCAAGTTGTTTTGCTTTCTGTTTTATTCGTTTGCTTATTATTATTATTATTATTATTATTATTATTATTATTATTATTATTATTATTATTATTATTTCCATTCATTTCCGATGTGAACTCATTACTTTTCGGGTCCAAACCACAAATATAAGACGGAAATGACATCATGATATAAAAATAAACAAGATCACACACGTCTTTCGTAAGGTGTGAGCTGTACTTGTTATTGCATTATTATTATTATTATTATTATTATTAGCGTTTCCGGATACCAACCAGTGATCTAAAGTCAGAAATGTCAACATGACATTTTCCACTGGAAAAAGAAAAAAAAAGATCCTGAACATTTTACATAGATAAAGTATTTCGTAAGCTGTGAGATGTATTTTTAGTATAATTTATTATTATTATTATTATCATTATATTTGTTGTTGTTTTTGTTGTTGCTGCTGTATTTTCTTTGATTACTTATGTATACTCATTACTTTCTGAGTCCTAACCAAAGATCTAAGGTCAGAAATGTCATCATAACATTTTCCAATGCTTATTTTTTAGGAAAAAGAAGCAACTAAAAGACACAACACTTAAGATCAGTCATATTTTACATAATTAAAGCCCTTCCCAAGGGCTGGGCTGTAGTTGTGAGAACATTTGTTTTCGTATTTGTTTAAAACATGGGCTACCAGGAATTACTTCAATGAGTCTCTTGGAAACTTTTCCAATCAATCCGAGGGCTCCAACTAGAAATGAAGTCGTTGATGTTCTATTATTATTATTATTATTATTATTATTATTATTATTATTATTATTATTATTATATTGCAGTTTTCATTTTCAACTGGAAGTCTTCCATTATTTACGTTCTCCATAAATTCGTACACCTACAGACAGCACCTTCCGTGGAATATTGTCAGTGTCAAGTAACACATACTTTTATGGTGAGGAAATACTAAGCTTTATTTTGATTTTTCAGTGTACAATATAATGTTCAGTGGCATAGAACCCAACAGTGACGTAGTCGAGCTTGAGTAAACCCAGAGAATATCATAGAACTCTGCGCTTGCTAAAACATCTTTGAGGGTAGACGGGTTCTTTGATTTTTAGATGGAAATCCGACTAGTTTTCGTCTCACAAAGAAAATACACAAGGAAATGAATAACCCTTCATCAACCAAAATATTTTTGTAATAAAATAAATAAATAATGAATCGCTAAGCCGCCAATAATTTCGTTAAAATAAGAGTGCGTTCGGATGATGACTATAGAAACTCTACCTTTACTAGAAAAATGCAAATAATAATAATAATGATAATAATAATAATAATAATACACAATACACACTGACAGAACAATCAAGGCCAACCGGCCAGATATTGTTATTAAAGACCACAAACAAAAACGGTGCCTCCTTATTGATATGGCAGTCCCTGCTGACTGCAATGTATTTTTGAAGATAAGCTGTCAAAGTACAAGGACCTTGAAATAGAAATCGCGAAAATGTGGCATATGGGAACATCAACAATCCCTGTTGTAGTTGGAGCCCTAGGACTGGTTGGAAAAGATTGCAGTAGACTAATTGAAGGGATTCCTGGAAGTCCATGCCTCAAGGAGATACAAAAAATTGTTCTGACAAGTACAGCCCACACCTTACGAAGGCCTTTATCTATGTATTTTTTTTTTTTTTTTTTGTCAGTGGAAAGTGTCATGACGCCATTTCTAACCTTAGGTCCCTGGACGGGACCCGGAAATAAATGTGTAAACGCCAGAAATCAAAGAAAATAAAAGTAATAATAATAATAATAACCCAGAAACATTCGATCATCTGATGTAAGGTTGTATGAAATCTTTACCCATTGAATATAAAACCCGGCATGACAGAGTTGGCCAATATCTGCACTGGAAAATCAGCAACTTCTAGGAGAAGGAAACTGAAAGAAATTGGTTTGAACACCACCCAGACCCGGTTACGGAGATAGGACCTGTTACAATTTTATGGGACTACACAATACACACAGAACAATCAAAGCTAACCGCCCAGACATTGTTATTAGAGACCACAAGCAAAAAAAATAAAATAAAATAAAATAAAAAATTGCCTCCTTAATGATAATGGCAGTCCCTGCGGACTGCCATATATTTTTGAGGGTCTTCAAAAAGCTATCAAAATACAAGGACTTTGAAATCGAAATCTCAAAAATGTGGCACATGGGAACATCAATAATCCATGCTGGAGTTTGAGCCCTCGGATTGGTTGGAAAAGATTCCAGTAGATTAATTGAAGGGATTCCTGGAAGTCTATACATTAAAGGAAAACAAATGATTGTTCTCACGAGTGCACCGCATACATTACGAACGGCTTTATCTATGTAAAATTCTTTTCTTTTCTTTTTTTTTTCTGTCAGTGGAAAATGTCATGATACCATTTCTAAACTTAGGTCACTGGGCGGGACACGGAACAAAATGTGTACACACCAGAAATCAAAGGAAATAAAATGATATATCCCGGAAACGGATATAATTGTTCGAAGTAGCAAAGTGGTATTGGACTACTGTATCCGAGTAGACAAACTAACAGGTAACCGTAATGGACTGGTCCTCGTCGTAGTGATAGGCAATAGGCGTAGGCAATAGGCGAAATCAATAGGCGTCCTCAAGAGACGTAGTCAAGGAACGTAGTCATGAGCCTCCATATCAGTCTGTATTTATGGCTGACACTAGCCAATTATATTACTGTGAGGGGCAACCCAGGTGTATGAATAAGCATTACATCATAAAATAACAATAATAATAATAAACAAAATGAGAGACGTAACACTTCAAACATATTCAAAATATTCGTGCGCGATTTAAGAAAATAATAAAAAGTATTTGACAATGTTAAATAATATTTCGACAGTATGTATGTCTTCTTCAAGTAATATATTGTTTAAAAATTCAAGTATAAAAATTTATATATCTACAAAAATTTATAGGTCATTGTACAAAGTTTGCTTGTCTTGTAACGAAAAAAAAAAAAAAAAAAAAAAAAAAACAGCCCTACTGGTAACATGTCAAAATAAATGAAATGCCGACAGTGTGAAGTAATGCAATAGAAATTCAGAATCTACTGGCCTTGCGACCATAAAAACGCATGTGGATAGTTTTTCTATGTGCTGTGTCCTTTCAGGACGGAGGCGATCATGGCTCTCCACCTCATTCATCTCTTGCAGCTCTCATCGTGTTCCTTCCCTCTATCACCTCACCCAGACCACGTTGTGTCATCCATTTACCTAAGGCCGCTTGGTATGCCATGCGTTGTTTTCCCTTGTCTCTCTTTCCCTCTTTCCGACCCGTGAGTATCAGATTCTCCAGGCCCTCCTTCCTTATTATGTGTCCCAGGAACTTCAGCTGCCTCTTCCTGATGTTAGGTATAAGCATCCTCCTTGTTTGTATCCTCTCTAAGACGCCATTGTTGCTCACACGCTCGGTCCATGCTATCCTTAGCATGCTTCTGTAGAATCACATCTCTCTTGTCTCTAGTCTCTTCTTCATCTTTGAAGAAATCGTTCAACATTCGCTGCCGTCACGTAACAGCTCAGTATTTTTTTTCTTCTTTACCAAAGAAATCTTCCCGTCTTTGGTAACGAAAAATAAATAATGAGCCGTTACTTGACATAGTTACGTAGGAAAAATACTAACTTCCCGCCTCGGGGTAAAGAACAGAATGACAGGAGAGTTCCATAAGATTTATACTAAGCTCTTTCATTAATTCCTCTTAGTAAATAATAAACAAACGGAAAATTCTAAGACAGCAACATCATCATCATCATATTACGCAAGTTTCAGTTGCATGCCTTAACGCTGGCGGCGTTTTATAATAATAATAATAATAATAATAATAATAATAATAATAATAGATGTAGATCCAATGAAAAATAATCATCATTTTTTTCTTAATTCAGGAAGGTGCAGTGCGAATTTCGGAATAATTCAATGGCGCGTTCTTCAGGGCAGTCTAAGAAAATGATAGGAAAAGTGAAGAAAATCTTGCAAAACGGAAGTCGAAATAAGAACGATAAAAATAGAGTTGTCGGAAAATGACAAGAAACGAAATAAAACACACATATGGAGTAAGCAAGAAAGATCAATATGGAAAACATGAAGAAAGTAAAGATGATGTGTAAAAGAAAAAGAAAAAAAAAAACGCTAACTCTTGTCCTGAAAAGAAGTAAGAAAAATCTGGAAAATAGGTTTGAGTAAATATTTTATGAGACAATGTCATTTAGAGTAGAATTAGTTTCGCCAAACTGTCTGGCTTGCCAGGTCAAAGCAGAATATCGTCGCTAAGACATTTGCACTTGCCATAACAGACGACGAATTGGATCAAGTTTCACTGCCATATCACTTTGAAACATCAGTTCTCATACGATCAGCGAAGTTAAGCAATGTTATGTTTGGTCAGTACCTAGATGTGTGACCCGTTTGAGAATACCAGGTGCCGTAA